TCGGGTCCGTCCCCACGCTCAGCCGTCTACCCAGCCCTTCCCACCTCAGTCGCCCCAGCCCTTCCCACCTCACCAGCCGTCCGCTACTACATACCTCAGCCGCCCCAGCCCTTCCCACCTAGGGGTGTTCATCGGTCGGTTCGGTCGACCGACCGAACCAAACAACAAAAACCGAATTAACCAAAATGTTATAAGTCAAAAACCGAACCGACCGAAATGTATCCTTAAACCGAAAATTAACCGAACCGAATTATTCAGTCGGTTCGATCGGTTAACCGATTTTTTACAAAAAATAGTTTTTCAAAGATTGTTTCCAATTTCCATACATAAATTTTCACAAACACACATACATGACCAGGACGAATCAGAAATGGGACATACTTACATACATGATTCTCACCAACATTTATCCATAATTAACAAATTCAATTAATATAGACATCTCACAATTTACAACACATACATGATCTTTACCAGTCTGCAATTACAAAAAAAAAAGACTTTGTATCTTGATTTGATGGAACTGATATTTTGGGAGGGTGAACAACCTGTGTGCCCGGCCGACGCTGAACAACGATCGACGACGACGAGTTCCTTGACCGGCGAGAAGGAGTCACAGACGTAGCTTCCGGGGACGATTTTTTACGGAGAAGATTATTTGGATTTGGGCGATTTAGGGCGGAGGAGGAGCGATGGCTGTAGATTTGGGACGGCGGAGGATTTGGGGAAGGGAGACTGACTGGGTGATTTGGGGAAGGGAGACCGATGGCCGATTTTGGAAAGGGAGATGAAGAGCGGAAGAGGAGCTCAACGGCGGAGGGTGTAGGGGCAGAGGATTTGGGACGACGACAAAGATTTGGTGAAGGGTTTCTCATTTCTGAAATTCTGCGAAGTATTGAATTGATTATGTTATTTTATATTTGTATTAAAATATTATATTATATAATATATCATATACATATATATTTTATTCGGTTGGTTCGGTTATTTCGGACATTTTTTGTCCGAAACCGACACCGACCGAAATAACCGAATAATAGCAAAATGAAAACCGACTACCGACCGAGTCGGACAAAAACCGAACCGGAATTTTCAGTTCGGTCGGTTTCGGTCGGTTCGGTCGATTTTAGTCAAATTTTTCACACCCCTATTCCCACCTCAGCAACAGTCCACCCAGGACTACTATATACCTCAGCCGCCCGAGCCTCAACAAGGTGAGATTTTTAAATTAACAATTTTTTTTCCAGTCCAATTTATGATTTATTTTTTCAAGCTGACACGCTTCTCACACCTCAACCTTCGTCTTCTTCTCAAATCGTATATACTCGGAGGGGGTCCAGACAGCGCAGGCCTCCGAATCCATACACTCCTTCCTAGTTAGCTGTGTCGAATTCATGGATTTTGTGCTTCATTTTCAATTGTTGGATTGTATGTACAAACCGAATTATATCATTTTGTATATATTGTTTTTTTAACAAATTATTGTTTTTTCATTTGTTTCGTTATAGTGTATGTTGGATTATTATTGTGCGGATATGTTGATATTAGTTGCTCGAACAGGTATATTTGATTTTTAGGTAAATTTGATTTTACCAAATTTTTTCAATTTTTTTTTGTTTTAAAAACGTATTTTTAAAATACGTTTTATTGTTAAAATAAATTTAAAAAATATAAAACGTATATATGAAATACGTTTTCAAGTTTAAAAAAATTAAAAAAAAAACGAATTAGTAAACGTATTTTTGAAATACGTTTTTGTGTTTAAAAAAATTCAAAATAAATAAAAAAATGTAAAACATATTTTGTCAATACGTTTTATTGTTTAAAAAAATTCAAAAAAATAAATTAATGTAAAACGTATTTTCTAAATACGTTTCTGTAATTAAAAACAATTCAAAAAAAAAAAATTATTTTTAAAACGTATTTAGGAAATACGTTTCATTGTTGATTAATTTACTTAATTAAGCTCATTAAGTGAAACGTAAATTAATGAAACCGTATTCCTTGAATACGGTTTATAAATAATATTTTTAGAAAACGTATTCTTTGAATACGTGGTTTTGATTTTCGTCTACTCCATTTGTTCCTTTTTTTTTGTCCATTTATTTATTTATTTATTTTTTTTAGTAAAAAATTATGTGGGTGAAGAGTTGTGGATGATGTTTTATAGGGGCCAAGTTTCTGGAATGAGACTCATACATCCCCACCATCACACACGGGAAAGGAAACGTGAGGCTCCGATTATCTGCTAAAATAACCTCTCTTCTTCCTATGGAACACACGAAAGAAGCATAATAAAAAAACAAAATGCAGCTGCTTCATGCTCCGGTCTCTCATATTCTGCCATTGAAATCCTCTGCAGCCCAACCTAAAGGTAGTAAGTTTCTAAGCATGCACTACGTTTTTCATTGTATTTTCGTGGAGGAGTCTAAGTGTTCGATCGAAACTAAGCTTCACTTCTACTTATGTAGGTCTCACGTATGTGGCTGGAAAATGTCTTATTGAGTCTCTTGTTTCACTTTCATCTCGAAAAAGTGTATGGACTTCATATGGAGTTCTTACATGTTGCTCAATTTCCCCGAAAGCCTCTTCGTCCCAAGGTGAATTTGTTCTCGCACAATTCTTAATACCCAGTTGAAAGAGTTACCTTGTCCTGTAACCCATGAGCTCTGCAGCTTTGTGTTTGATTATTATCATTACCCATTTCATTTTTCACTCACTGTTAGCATATCTCTTTTATCTTGAGAGAAAATCCACGGTAAGCATGTGCCCGGCAATTTATTCACATTTGAAGTTATGGCCATGATTAATGGTTAATGGTTAATACTTAATACTGACAGTGAATACACGTCTTGGTAGTCACCTTGCGCTAATTGATGTATTATTTTACTAATTCTGCTGGTTTTATAAAGTGTCATTCAGTTGCTTAATATGCGCTGCTGATTGTTTCCATTATGCAAAGGTCTGTTTATAGTGTTGGAGTTTGAGCATGTAAGTTCTTTGTGGAATTATATGTTAGTAGCTTCAGGGATTGGTAATACGTTCGTATCAGAATGAATCTTGCTTATTGGATCAAGTCAGAATCCTGAGATAAATGAAAGACCTATGTATGCTGAATGAGTGAAGCTTGATCAATGCAGTCTAGAATCTAGATTGCTTTCCCTTAATTGATTACTGTTGACTGTTGAGCTGCCTTGCGAGTTGTGGATGGTACGGTAGGCAGGGGATGCTAATATTGAATGAGGTTTACTAGTGGAGATTAAAGATATAATCAGTTTGGTACATTTGAGAAGCTGAAAGGAGAAAGAGAAGCAGTGAGATTTACTGGAAAAATGTTTTGGGGACTTTAAAATTACCCTCTATTGATTCTGTCAAGCTGATCAATTCAAAATTGTCCCGTGCAGATTCATGTATATTTTGTTCTTATTAATGCAAATTGTAATAGTAGACTTCATCACTTTATTTCAAGATATATATAGATGACTTACGGTTTACTTGCTTGACGGGCCAGCAATTTCACATTAGCAACTTTAGTATATTGCATTATGCTAATGTTAGTTTTGTTATCACTAGTTGTATTTTTGCATTATTCTTTATATTTCTCGTAGGGGCTTCATCCTCATTTTTTCTTAATTTTCTCTTTCCTAAATAAAAGGGTGAGGAATTTTGTTATAGATGTATGTTGCCCTTGTTTGCAAATCAATGATTGGTAGTGATCTCATTTGCTTTGGAATGCAGCATTATAAGCTCATGAAACTTCAAAATGCTTGAATGGTTAGTCCATATGCAAATACTACAAAATGAGATGCATGTATTGCTGTCTTATCAGATATATACATTGAGCTTCCGGTTTTATAAAGGTTTCACGATACTTCCTTTAGGAGATTGATTTTCATAGCCTCTAGTTACCTGGTTAAGAAGCAAAACTTGAAGTGACTGCTTTTATATTTGACAGTGGCATTTTTTCAAGTATAATTGCATAATTGCAGCTGCTAATTTGGAAGTAGCTAGTCAAACAGCTGAGAGCGAAGTCTTGAAAGCCTTGTCCCAGATAATTGATCCTGATTTTGGCACTGACATTGTCTCATGTGGATTTGTGAAAGATCTGAATGTCAGCAAGGATTTGGGAGAGGTCTATTAAGGCATTGCATTTGAGTTCTTCCTTTCTATATAGAGATCGATAACTCATCCAACATTGTGACTTTTGAATATCTCAGGTTTCGTTCCGGTTGGAGCTCACTACACCTGCATGCCCAGTTAAAGACATGGTAAAAGATGTAATTCAAGCGCAGTATTATTTTTCTTATATAATATGTTGTTTTACCACCATTAGCTTAAATCAGGTACTAATTTACGAAATACTGCGAGGAATGCTGTAGTCTTCTGACATTTTCTTCGAAATAGCTAGTTAAAGTTTTATGATTGGTTTTGGCTATTTATTTTTATCTTGGTGAATGTCTTAATTCCCTAGTAAAATTTGATCTGCTACACATACATATAACTTTGCAGTTTGAGCAGAAGGCTCATGAAGTAGTTGCAGCAATTCCCTGGGTTGAAAAGGTTAAGGTAACCATGTCCGCCCAACCAGCAAGACCTGTATTCTCTGGGCAACTTCCACCTGGTCTACAGGCAATATCAAATGTCGTGGCTGTTTCAAGTTGCAAGGTAGTTTAATCTGTAATATTATATGCCTGAAATTTATTTGCATTAATTTTGATTGCTGTCCTGTAGTTCTCTCATTTGCCCCTTTCGTTTTTACTTTCCTTTTCCAAAAAGTGTGATTTTATCACACATTGGGTCAAACAAAACTTTCATGGAGGATATGGTGTTGTCTTAGATATTTTTCTACTTTTCCACAAAAATCTAGTGGCTGTACTTTCATCACATCGTCAATCTTGATAGGATCCATGAAAAAAGAATGGTGCACATGTTGAAGATCATCACATTATTTCCAAATAGATAATATGGAGACATCATCGTTTTGATTATATCTCATTAAAACGGCAAGTATGTAAATTTTCAGAAACACAGAACACCACAACTATAGCAAGACGATGCCCTTCCAGATTTGGTTCTATGTTTCTAGAATATCAGGGGAAGCACCGAAGATGAAGGGCAGACCTAAATCCTGTTTCTGCCCTCTAGTCTCCTGACTTTACAGTAATTTTGACAGTTTAAAGAGAGATCATTGGTCTCCCACGAAAAATTTGAAGATTAAAACCAATGATATTGACAATTCAGAAACATGCACACTGTCCTTATTGTTATTCACTTTCACCTTGAAAGTAATAAAACATCATCCCTGTTCTTACATGGTTTGCAATGTTACATTCAATGTTCGGTAATTTCCTTGTAAGAATGAGACACAGTTACACTCCAACAATGTCAGGGAGGCGTGGGGAAATCCACTGTAGCTGTAAACCTTGCATTTACTTTGGCTGGTATGGGTGCAAGAGTTGGTATCTTTGATGCTGACGTGTATGGGCCTAGTTTGCCTACAATGGTATCCCCAGAAAATCGGTTGCTTGAAATGGTAATTTACCAATCTTTAGCTGGAATTGCTTTGTTTGCAGCATGTATCTCACTATATGATGACAATTGCATGGCATCTGTAGAACCCAGAGACGAGAACCATAATCCCAACTGAATATATGGGAGTTAAAATCGTATCTTTTGGGTTTGCTGGACAAGGCCGAGCTATAATGCGTGGACCAATGGTTTCTGGTGTCATCAATCAACTGCTGACAACTGCTGAATGGTATTACATTTTTTCTGCATGCATTGCCAACTATGCCATTGGTTTATTGAAGATATTTATTTTTTCATGGGGGTCTTTTTGTTGGGCTTGCAATTTTCTCTAGCTAAATTTTACCCAACTCCTGCAAATGACATGCTATGCTATGCTGAACTTGTGGCACAAAAGACAGTTGTAGCCGTAATCATCATCATCATCATCCCTTACGTATCCGTTTCTATATTCTAGTATTATTTTGATAGATATCAATATGAACTAGTGAGAATCCCGTGCGATGAACGGGGGTTTCGTACCTTAGAACATTTTTTCAAAACTTTATTTTAACAAAATATTAGCCCGTTGACCCATTTATATTAATAGAAATAATGTTTTAACATGTATATTTATTTTTTAATACAAAAATTAATAATTTTACATATTTTGGTTAATCATAATATTCAAATATATTTTATTCAAAAATTTATTGTCGTATGATGTCATTATTACTTATTATAGAAGTAATATTCTTTTTTATTTAATGATAAATATTTAATGTATATTAATATTATTTAATGATGTAATTAATTTAAAAATATATAAGCATATTTAATGTTTGTTAGGAATGTGAATGTATCCAAAAAAATCTGATTATGATATTTGTCTTTAAATATTTGAATGAATTTGAAATTCAAATTACAAATCAACCGCCAATTTTTCAAAGAATTTCAAAAAAGTTACTAATTATAGTAAAATACGAAAATTTAGGCGGGAATCTTCATGATATTTTTGGATTTTTCCTTATTGTAATGAATTGTAAATTCATTTTAACAAATAATATGAAGGGTGGAAATAATCAAGACGCAATATGTATCAATTATACGATCTACCTACTATACAAAGATCAATCAAATCAAATAAATCTACTTAATAAGAAGTTGTATTCGGTATTCAAACTTAATGGAAATATACACCAATCTTCTAATATTTTTAATATACATCTCTACTTGGATATATTAATTTATATGATATACTAGTAGTTGATCATGTGCACATGCACATATATACATTATGAAGTATTATAAATTATGTGTATATATATAATTAAAATTAAAAATAGATAATGTATACATCACATTTTATAATTTTGATTATTAATAAACAAACAGTATAAATATAAATTATTTCACTATACATAATGAATCTCTATATTGATTGCATAAAATGTAATACATAACATATTTTTTATTACTTCAAATTGAGGGGTTATGGTCAATTAATTACCAAGAAAAATGTTGAAACAATCAATAATATTTATTATTATTATTATTATTATTATTATTATTATTATTATTATTATTATTATTATTATTATTATTATTATTATAAAAATTATTTAAGGGGTTTTTCCATGCCATAAAATTAATTATATGATTAAAAAACTAATATCACTCTTAGAGTAAATAGTTTGAAAAAAAAAATGCAATGTAATTTTTCATTATTAGGTAGCTTACATATACCATTTAATGTAAATTATAATTAGTTGATTTTATTAATAACTGTGGTATAATATAATAATTAATAAAATATGATTACACTTAAGTAGTATAAAATGAAACAATTTTACCATAATTGGTTGAAAAATGAGCAGAAAAAAATTTGTTATTTGCATTAATTTTATATATAGATTTACAGGATTTCCAAAGCAGTTACACCATCATTTATCGACTTGTTTACATTGACCTTCTTTCCTTTCTAACATCTCCAATGAACAACGTTGACAGAAAAA